AGAGATAGAAAAAAAAAATCATGAACAAAAAATTAGAAACTTGATATTTGTGGTTTTACTCGGTTATTAGCCCGTCTTTCATGGATATTAAATTGATTATAGCTCTATTTTTTTTTACAGCAAGTTGATTATAGCTTTATTGTTTGTGAAAAAGGATTTATCTTAACAGAAGAAATAATATAATATGATGTATAAGTTTTAAAATAATATTAGCAAACTATCACTTTTCTAAAACTCACCATAAAAAATGTTCTAATTGGAGGTAGCACCTTTTCTAGAAATATGTTCGTTTTACTCAGAATTGGTGAACGTATATTCGTAGTTGTATAGTCTTACAGACTATTATACGTTCATGGATATAAAAATAAATCTATCATGTGTCGGTAAAAAAAAAAGTGTCGGTAAAAAAGTGATGGTTCACTTCTCTAGTAACAACTTAAAGGTGCTATTGACGAAAAATGTAAAGCCTGATTTATGTATATGAATATTTATATCTTTTAATTTAATGTTGCGAAAGTTTAGTTAACTGTAATGTTTTTTGGCCATTTTGTTATGATTAATATATGTATGTGTTTACAATTAATGGTTATCTTAGTCCAATGATTTACCTAGAAACATTTTTATTCGTTAACCTATTCAACCCCTTTAACCCGAATTTTGTCCATTAGGAAACTGGATTTGAGATATAAGCATAAGTAAATAAAGTTCATAAGTTAGATAAAAATCATCTTAAGACAATATCATTGGGATGCTTCGACAAGAGTTGTGCGGTAACTAAATAAAATATCATATCTGATTCTGATTTGCAACCAACCATCATAGGCATTCTGGTTGGTGTGACTATGTTCTCAACAACCAACCATCATAGACATTTTTTTTTTCTTTTTCGACAACATGCATTATACACCACGAAATTATATGTCATGATGATAATGCAGCGATTATACTAATACAAACCACTAGATTATAGTTTCACCAGGACATTTTTAATTACTCGTAAATCATGAATTTCAATATTTATTGAATCTTCCGACGACCATGTTTAATTTTCAGACTTCCTGTCACCAAATCAGGCTTTGATTACCATTTAAAATAGCCATAAAATACAATTTTGAAATGCAAAATGGTTTGAATCTCAATTTTATAGATGGAACTACGCTAATACAAGTGATTCATTTCGATATACTTTTAAGTGTTTTTAGTTGTTCATTGGAGATTAAAAAGAGAAACAAATAATTGTAGTTGTAGAATCCAAAGATGTCATATTTCAATATATAGATATATAATTACATATAAGTGCAACAAAGAAAACTCATGTTGTTTATGAAATTTATCTATTTATATCATAGGACCAAAAAAATAACGGTAAAATCATATATATAATTTGAGAGTTTTCTCTCCATCTAAAGTGTCCACATCATCATAAAAAAATAAAAAAAATTAATAACTTAATTAACTCACACACTTTTGTATTATTATCTCTCAATAAATAAAAACAATAATTCACAAACACTTAAAATCAATAAAGATATAATATTTTAAATAAAACGTGAATATATATTGATTTGAAGAAATTCATTTTGTAACTATTTGTGAAATAGACAAATAGGAAAACAAATTATCCAAAAAAATTCCAATAAAAAGAATACAATTTAATTGAATAATGAAAAA